GTGAGTATTAGTTAGTCCCCAAATCTCTTTATAGACTAAGAAGTAAGCCAGCTCCATGCACACTGGTTAGAGGCAAGCCAGAGAGAAGGCAGAACAAGGGCTAATCTAAGGGGAACACTTGCAAATACGCACTACAGGAGGTGTAAGATGTAGACAGCTGAGGCTGACCTGGCCTAAATTGCGCCTAGCAATGCATCAATTGCTAGGGATGAGGGTTTGGCACGACGCATTTTGCCTTTGAAGCTTCCGCTCGCTTGAACACCTTCTTTTGGATGTATTCACTTCTATGAAGTCTATGTACCCACTTTGTGCAATGCAGACCACGGTGGCGCCTCTGAGTAGGAAAGTAACTAGCGACCTGGCTATTTGGCTGCAACCTCACGAAACAAGCCCCGCAAACGTGTTTATCGTTTATGTGCTTGGCCTGTGTTGCGTCGCCACTTAGCATCTGGAAATACATTGCGTCTAACATTTTTTGCTTGTCGTATCGACAAACCACTTACTGTATGAGAGCGTTCAAACACGCCCGCCTTGATGCGCACATCAACAACCTTCAAGGAACTGAAAAAGACACCTAGCAGTATGTTATGGATTCTTCCTGTCTCCCTTTGACTTATTTCTTTCCATATGGCTCCCCGTACTTTGAATAGCCCTGCCTCAAAACAGGCCCCTGGTAAGGTCAGCGCCGGTTTGCCTCCTTTCGCGCAGCTTGACCTCACTGGTGTATCCGTTGCATGCTCTTTTGCGTGGAGTGATGGTTATTGGTGGCTGGAAAATGAACCATATTCATTGCTACCCACTAATAGTGGGGCATCTTTTCTTGACCTTCGCTGCACCTCCTTCCCTATGCCGCCTTCTTTCCTATGTACTGCGACCATATATTTCAGTGTGAACGGCCTAGATTCGGCATCCTACTGCTTAAGAATTAAATCAGCACCACCATGGCATCAGCTAACCGTGTGACTATCTCACTGTTTCCTTTACCTGCCTACATTCAAGTTTGTCCGGGTGCCTTTCTGCGGTGTCTAGTCTCAGTCCCTACTCTTCCTAACCTTGGGTTCTGCCTTGCTTCTAGCATTTGGCGGGGGCCTCCTGCTATGGGTACTCGAGAAACGAAAAGGTCGCTGCAAAGGTCTAGTTCGTGCTGAGCAATATGCGATTCAACATTACATACGTACATATAAGTCTTCCATATGCCATTTCAGGAATACTGGATGTGTCGCCTGATATGCACAGCTGCTGGTGTTGCTGCTTTCACAGTTACACTATGCAACCTCAGATGCCTTCTACTCTTATAGATATACACATATAATTATGGTATATGAACTAAAACTTTGGTGTGCTCCTGTATCATAGTCTTTATTGGTTATGATTTGATGATTATTATATTATAGACGTGCTCAGGTTGCACAGGCGAAGCGGGTGAAGGCATGTTGTGCAGTCCCGTCATCCTGCTCAGTGACATGCTGCCCTCAATAGCTCAGGCAGCCAAGAGCGCGGCCCTCGGTTTAAGCAGCAGCGCCCCTTTCCACACGGTCTACCCGCGAGACATCCCTTTAGACACATCTGTAGCTTGCCCGCATTCGGGGCTGTTTATGCGTAGTGGCATACATGGAAAAGCAGCTTGCCTTTGCTACCTGTCTTTAGCAAGAGAATTACCGCGGCAATGATGACCGGCAAGCACCTACAGAACAGCTGAAATGGCTGCGACAAGGCGATAAGTATTATCACCGTAGCCCTTGGGGCTCCCATCTGTCCTTTGGAGCCAATGGTTTAAAGTTAAGCCGTACTGTACTGTAGCCCTAGGGAAAAGGCATCCAATTTCACTGCGACCCTGAAATACGTTTTTGCAGTACATATTCACTAGACCTCTCTTTGGGCAGCGAGCCAGTGTCCGTTCTCTTAGTTACACTTGTCTCATAAGGATGACAAAACTTGAGCCCCTTTTGCATGCTACTCCGCTTCTCTAAAAAAAAAATCACTCACCTTTGTACGTCCCCTGGATTGCAATGGTAGCGTACCAACAGGCTGATCTCTCGCCTGCACTTGTTTTTTCCCAAACATAGTTGCTCCCCCTTGTGCTACTAGTAGTAATTCGACTAGTACTGATTGGTCTTGGAATTTTTGTCGCTTGATGTAGTAGCATTTAATCCCAGTAATTCAGTTAACATACAAGGCACGGTTGGAGCCGTATTAAGCCATAGCAGCAGCAAGAAAAAAAGACGAATATTCATAATGTGCCGTTTCCCAGATAATCCGGGAAAATGTCTTCATGAATACAGTGCAAGGTGCTGAACCTAAGGGTAGTGATCTGTAGCTAAGAGATTGCTCATGACGCCCCAGAATAATACAGGACGAAATATTGTTCCAGTCATACGATTTGTTCACAAGCTAAGTGTTACTTTTATCACAGGGCTATACGGAAAGGGAGGGCATCCTGGCCAGTACAGGTACGAAGAAGTTTTCTGGTCTTTTGCGAAGTGACAAAATATTGCCTTTGCCTTTAGGATATCACACGCCTCATAGCCTTGTCTTGAATAGCACCACTTCTGGAGCTCGAAATTACTTCCTCGTGCTGTCTATGTGAGCCTTAGGAGTGTGTAATTGCTTTACGCAGTGGCCGTTTGATGTTCGATAAGGCAACTGCTCAGAGGGACTGGCAGAAGAATACACGCAACAAATAGTAAGTCCGGTGACATTTTAGTAAGCCAATAGAACCCAGGTCTTTGGTACTATTGCCTAATCAAAGGATTTGAATTTTTTTTCTTTCTTATCTTCAGTTCTGCCACCTGCATGAAGGCGAGGTCAAATGAGAAATTAGTGGTATCTGGTGAAAATTGTCTTTGCTACTCTTTTTCCTATAGGGAAAGCAAGCCTTGAGTTTAGCATAATTACACATGACTCTCCTTAGCTCTCGGGGGAAGGTGGAAGAATCAGTAAATCTCGATTAGTTCATTGGGCGTCTCTAGTGACCTTCGAGATGCAATGGCATCCCTAAAGAACCAGTGGACAAGCACAGAATCTCAGCCGTTGCTCTAATTGTTCCTTCCCCGGAGCGTCTATAAACTAAATCATATTGCTATGGTAGGGAAGAATGCATGAGAAAGTCTCGCTTTCATTCTCCTTGAAACGCCAAGGCATCGGTATTTGCCCCGTGATTTCATAGAGACACGAATCTCTGCTACTGCTTCCCGTTGCTTTTCATCGTGGTTTCGAATCAATATTCGTGTCCATATATAATTTTCACCTAAGCATTGAAACAGTTGTTTCCCCCCTTTCCTCGTCTTTTTTTCCATGGCAGCATGACGGTCCTTCGGCAGCATCGAGTTACTGGTATTATTGCTGTCGGTCGACTGGCTTTAATTCCGCCTTTCCGTTTATTTTTGGCTTGGTAGCAGCAGAATCATCGCAGTCCAGCGTGAGTGGTGATGGCTTCTTACGGAATATAGCTGCTGCTCCTCCCGGAGAATCGACTCATATGGTCCAAAAGTCTCTTATGATGCTAGACCGGGTGCAATGGCCACCAGATGCGGTCTCCGAAGAGTATAAAAGATTGCAAGCAAGATATTTAGGCGTGATCAGCCGCTTACAGCCACGGGATCGAGAGGGTGCCTTGGCCCATGTACAGTCTAAGGTGGAGGGAGGCGAGCATAGTGCACAGGCTTTCAGAAATGACTTTGTGGACGAAATCGCTGTAGCCTATTTCACAGGCAAACCAAGCCACCAAGAGGAGCTGAGGAAAAAAACTTTGTTAGGGGGGGAGATCGAAGAAGTGACCCAGGAGTCCTTGGTTGACGATATGGCACGCAGTGAAAAGGAGGCAACAGGAGCACACGTTTACCCCACTCTCCAAGGTATACTGCAGCTATACCAAAATGATGTAGACAGCAACAAGGCAGCAGCACAAGAAGCCATAAGAGGTGCACAAACACGGCAAGGAATAGAGGATGAGCAATCCTCCCTTTCCCTTGTAGACAGAGGAATACGAAAAAACAAACAGGCGGAGTGGACGGATGCCGAGAGAATGCCAGAATTAATCAATATAATTTTATCTTCCTGAGGTAGCCTGAGGTGTCGGACCAACAAATGTCTTCGATTACTTCGGCACTAAAGTGTGTTGTGGAGCACATTGAGGATGAGGTTGACTTAGACTCAGTCCCTTCTCATTTTGGCATTCCCCTCAGGCGCCTGTCTGCCACTTTACAAGCAGCCTCACTAGCTGCTTCAGGCTCACGGAGAGGAGTCTGGCCAGATGTAAGAGAGGACGGAGGCTACGATGCAGCAAAGGAGTGCGCGTTTCTTTGGGCAAAGTTTTGTTGTCTTACTCAAAAACAAATTTTGAATCTCTTGGTCGACATATTTCAACAGGGTTCCATAAAGGTCCACTTCGCTGCGAGCGCTGCGAAAAAGTGCAGTTCGAAGGGAGAAAGAGCTCTGCAAGGCAACAGGTGGTGCTGTGAGGCAAACGAGGAAAGTACATCGGCCACATGCTTACAAACGCACTGTAAACACTTGTTCACTCCAGATCCAACCTGCGTGGTCTGGCTCCTGATCTCGGTATCCCATGACAAGAGGAACAGGTGGGGAGTAATGACATCGCTACCCTAGCGGATAACATCGTCAGGAGCGAAAGCAGCACCATTACCCAACAGTCACCGAAGCAAAACACGAAGGAGGAACTTTTGTCCTTGTAGAGGTCCATGTATATACCGGACACCGACAGCGCGGAAGAACAGATGCACTTCAAAGGCAGTGGCTTCTTAGCAAGTGGGTGTTCCAGGTCATTGCGTATTGGGCAGTTTTGGCGCAACGTAATACATTTGCCACTTTGCACTGTTCAAGGCACTTTTTTGCCGTTCCACCAGATGACTCGCCATTGTCCAGCCACTATCCTCTTCAGGATTCTCAGCAACATTCGATGGATGCCCAGCTCAGCTCTAAACAGACGCCTCCTGGTAGTCGTTGCAGACAATGTCAATAACTTTCTCTGCTTCCCTCGCCTAAGCTGCCGGCTTTGTAGTTTTCTTCTGAGCTTTCTTCCTCATTCCAACTAAAATCAAGTCCCTTTCGAGTCCACAATTCTCAGTCCCATTTCCATAGGAGGAGGAACAGGGCAGAAGGCGATCGGGAGAGCTGTTTCTCGCACTAACTCTGGTTTTCCACTTTTTAAACTCTTTACCAGGCTCGCATTGTCCTTTTACCCCTAAGGCAGTCCCTGTGCCGTATAGTGGATGGATGGGGGATCTTGACGACAGTGTTGTGGGGCAGACTGGCAGGGCTGAACATCAAATATACAAGTACTGAAGGTAAGCCTAAGGGGCGCACACATGTATACAGCTTTTCAGAGGTAACGCTTTTGCCAATAATTTGTTGAGCATAGTCAATGGAGAGGTTGCACGTACACAGGTAAGAAGCCAAGGAACATGATTGCGCTTGGCGACGTACGTGCCCGAAGAACAGCGATTATCGCTCCACTAGGGATTGACATGATCTATGCTCAAGCGCTGAAATGGTTGAAGAATACATACGAGTGTACTGGAGGACAGCGACCTCTCTACACGATACGCATCGACTTTAAGTAGCCCGCAGAAAAACCACGCAGCAAGCTTCGCCATTTGGGGAGGGCGAGCAGCGGTAATCGTGACACTATCAGCAACAGCAGTACAGATAGAGCATTTTTCACTGAGTATGCGTGCGGGTATACGAGCGGCAGCTCGATTCGATGGAATATGCATACTGGCCGCAAAATATGCTTTCGAGACTCGCGCAAGACCCTCAGTTTGTAGGCAGCCTCTGCGTTGAGGTCCCCTACGACTCTCCACAGATGGTAAAGGAACTAGTGATCAGTTGTACATAAAAAACAATACGATTCCTTGAGCCTACAGCAAAAACTGTAGGAAGAGCGGCCTACAGCCATCCGCTGGCATCGAAATCTACCCGTTTGCCTTTATGGTGTGCGTTAGTGCTACTACGTGCCGAAGAAGAGCGGGCAGAGGGTGGAGCCGATGAAGCACGAACACCAGACTCTGGAATCGTCAAAGCTGCCTGCACAAAAAAGAATGGCATGCCCTGAGGCTGTTATCAAGGCCCGTTTACGTATAATTGTCTACTCTTAAGCCTCAATTTGCAAGCACGAAACTCTGTACTCTAAAATTTATCTAATGCCAATTGGGGGTAAGTACTGGGCCTGTGGCATGGGGGCTCTGCGGACGTTAGTAGTCTCCGCCTCCTGTGTCCCCAAGTGTCGCGCGACCGTCTTATCCCTTTTCCTTTTCAAAAGCCTCTTCTTCCTGATCTCCGCCACTCGCTGTGCTAAGTGGCGGAGCTCAGCAATGTTCTGAGGGCAACACAATACAAATGGATGGGACGTGGCAATGGTCTGTACCTTGCCTGCTTAACTGCCGGTCAGCTGGCTTTCCACCGGCTTGGTTACACGCACAGATGGAAATTGTTTGCAACAATTTTGTTCATATGGCTGAGATATGTGCTCAGAATGTCAGCCACTGTGCATTGCTGTTTATGATTTCCCTTGTCTGCAGTAATAACCATTTACTGACGCTTGCCTTGAAACACTAAACGGCTTGGCAGTGCCAATCAAACGCGCACATAGGCAAACTTATTAGCTCACCCTGTCCGCTGATTGCATGGTATCTGCTGGCATTGTCTGCAACTGCCACTCAGCCGCGTTGAGCTCAACGGTCCACAAAACATGAACTTCCTGTCCAAGGGAAACCAGATAGCACCAGAAGCAGCGCCACCACCAACAGGCGAGCGCAGTGGCAACATGTTACACTACAGCAGAATCAGTATGTGGGGAGACGGATAAACGTGCAACTATGCAATACGGTGAATGCAACGAATACCCCGAAGAGCGTTTGACCACGGGAGCACCTGATGGCGCTTGCCTGCGCATCCCTTGTCTGAAGTTCACGTGCGGAACAGAGTCTAGCACTTTATTATCATGTATTCATAAGACAAAAGCCTACTAGCAAGGACCCTTAGCTTGGGTCATTCCTAGGGAAGTGAACGGAAGCTACTCATGATGTGCGTTTCACGTCCCCGTGATGCGTCCGCATTTGTGCGTATCAAAGATGACGCAACCATTAGGCTGTTCATAGACTGTTTTTGCGGAACTTACTTGTGATGCTGTTAGCAATGAATGTTTAGCCCAAAGGGCATTTTCAGCGTTCTCCAGCTCATGAGCAATGGTGTAGTAAGGAACCAGCAACTCGTCCACTGCGTTCCGGTGGTCCTCTCTAAGACCTGAATCAAGAGCAGAAAAAGCGGCAATAGATTCAAAAAATTCTTGAACGAGCAAAGATTGTAGAGCACGAGAAAAGCAGCATGATTTCACGAAAAAAAGGCACCAAGTGAAACCAAACAAGCGGGGGAGGTCGTCTTCATTGCCTTGGCAGCAAAGAAAACTAACAGTGATCATCGAGCACCACTGAGCAACGGCACACCATATTCATTTACGCACATCTGAAGTTAGAGAAGGCTACTAGGCTCCGTCATCCCAGTACGACAGACGCCAGGTAGTCCTACGGTTGGCCTCAGGGCAGATGCACAAAGAGAATGACCAACAAAACTCGCGATAAAAAAAGGATTACTCGATCAAAATGAGAAAAAATCTGCAAGAAATTATCAACAGAGAAGGAAGGGTAACGAAAATATACGGGCGGGTGAATGGATGGCGAGAGGGAGACAAGCATCGAAGACAATCACACGGACGCAGAGGGGATTCACAACAGACTTGGTGAAGGCGACATACCAGCGACAAGGGCGGCATATTTAGGGTGCGTGTAATCTGAGCCTCCCTCCTGTATTTGCACGACTCTGGCCTGCGCCGCCTTCTCACAAACGTCCCGGACTGCTTTCTCCTTTCCCTCAAAATAAGATTCGATCGCTGCTGACTTTTCAGCCGCCTCAGCCTACAGGAATCGCAAGGAAAAAAGTATACCAAAGATTGTAAATTGCAGCAGGACCCTACCCTTTAACAACTGGACCCAAACGTGCAGCAATCCCTCCGATACCTACGGAGGTAACCAAATATTCGGAATGCGAAAGTATGCTCAGTAAATCCTGAAGCATATAAATTATAATAGTTGAAAAAAGAACCGCACGAATATTACTAGAAATGGCGCTATAGCAGTTTGCACTATATGCGCTGTAGGAAACATCCGGACAAACCTGAAGCTGCTGGTAAGCGGCGTAAACATTGCTGTATTCATATTGGAGACGATAGTAGGTCTGTTGGGCCGCTGTAATACCTCGCATGCGCACTTCTCTAGATAGCAGAACAGCTTGGTACGGGGTCATGTCACAGCTCTCAGACTGCTGAGATGTGCTAGGGGTTCCGCAATTTATCAAGTTTGAGCTCACGCCGAAAAACGACATCTTAGAAGTCTGTGAAGCTCTTTTGCGTAAAACATGTGGTTACATTTGTCATGGGTTGGTGAGTATGCATTTACGTGTATAAGCAAGTTTCTGTAAGGCTGAACACATAAGTATAGCTGCAGGGCTGGGACATCAAGCCATGCAAGCAGCCGCACAACACTGAGCCTCAGGTGTCATCAGATTCATCCGAATTCACTTGATTGTGAGCCAAGGAGTGCGGATGCCCTGTTGATCCAAACCCTGGCCGTGCTCCTTGTCAATGGCCAGGAGGCCGGAAAAGGTGGATGCCCTTCCAGCTCCTTCTGGTGTTCCCAAGTTGTCTATACTGAAAAGAAAATCCATTCGAAATTTGGATTTGTCATCTGCATATTCTCAGGAAAGCATAGGAGAAGGGCGCTCGCGAGTTGGGGGCCCACGCAATCAGTGGAGTAAACTTCTTGGAAAAAGTACTACCATAGGATAATTCTGACTCACAAAAGGGGTATTACGGAATAAGCAATTTTGTTCCGACACTGGTACCCGATATGAGAGCGTTGTTCGCGATAACCCTGACGATGAGCTACGTGCTTCTGCCAAGAGCCCCGCCAGTTTCAACGTCCTGCAACTAACCAACCCAGCGGTCAGCTTTATGAGAGCATCAAACACGCTTACTAGTTGGGTTTACTATATTTTCTAGCCCTTTTCAATGTTGTTACACCTTATTACTCCGAATGGCGCCATGAAATGCTTTGCTTTCCAATGCTTACAGCTGGTACAGTCGAGTGGATTTGCTTTTCAATGCGTACAGCTGGTACAGTCGAGTGGAATGGGCTTGCCCAAGATGCCGCATACACATTACGCGCTTCAGTCTATTCTCATCAGACTACCGTTAATTACGTCTGATCCTAGCTTTCCGCTGTTCTTTCACTGAATCGAAAGCTGTGGATAACCCAAAACGCTGGTGTGAACACCGCTGCCGACTGCGTCTTTCAGCGCCTTTCAGCGCCTTTCAGCAACTATCAGCGGGAAGTGCAAAGAGGGCTCATACAAGCAAATGATTCATCTGTTCATTTTTATCCTGTAGAGCCATTTTATGGAGTGCCAAACTGGCGAATGTTCCTCCTATTTCTGGGTGAAACGATGCGCGCTTGCTTACCCATGCCATGCCCCACTGAGGCCCTGCATTGGAGCGCAAAAGGTCCCAAGGAAACAATTTAGACACATTACCACATGTGCACGCCCATTTTGTTTCTTACTGAAGCATGTCAGCACCTTAACAGGGATTCTAACGTAGCTCGTCACTATCATCCTTCGTTTTCCTCTCGACTTTTTCGTATGCGCAAACTAACAACTTCCGGGCACTGAGACGCTCTTCATCCGTTCCTTCCTCACGCAGTTTCTGTAGTGTAGCAGGCATGCCACAGTACCGTCCGAAGGCCCCATGAAGTCCTCTGGATACTCAATGCTCTCCAGGGTCCCTCAGGGTCCCCCTGGGCCTCACAGCTGTAAAAGTTACGCAGATGAGGGAACTTGGAGTCGAGAAGGATTGGAATGGAGGAAGAATACGGAGGACACCGATGCCCGGATGTTTGTTCCCCAGAGCAGCTGCCTGCGTTTGTCTCAGTCCATGTGCTGGCGCAGCGGCGGCATCATCCTGCAGAGCCACGCAACTAGCACTAGGGTCATCTGTGCTAATCCACAACAAGCAGCCGCACCACAGGTATGCTTTTGTTCCGTCCTTATCGCCAGTTTTATTGAATAGGGGGAACGCCGTTAGGGTGGGAATGTGCACCGAGCTCCACTGCTTCAACCTTAAAGGGTCTGTGGACTGCAATGCGCAGCGTAGCCACTGGAATGATTCGCGGAAGAACAGCTACCATGAAGGCTTTGAGACGTCTAACCGTAGCAGCATGACGCAGCCCAGAGGGCGACAAAATCCACGAGGGGGTAGCCAGGAGCCAACAGGGTGCCCAATGCCTGGTCCTCGTGTCGACTCAGCCTCTCTGTTGAACGGGCACGTCGCGTGTGTCAGGTCCCCCGGGCCTGAGGTGCGCTACATGCAGGTTTTCCGAAAAGTGGAAGTTGTACAGCCAGACGGTTCTGCAATGCATCGAAGCCGCAGCAGGAGGAGCACTGTTAGCAGTAGCAATTCGAATAGTAGTACATCAGGAACTAAACCTATCGCCTTTTTCACCGGGCCCCAGGTTACTGAGAGTGAGCAGTAGAGTCAGCTACGCGTCCTTTAAGTTCCCTCCAGTGTGTATTCCGTGGCTACCTCCCATTTTTGGTGGCGAAGTCCTTTAATGTGTTTAGGGGAGCGTACCCGGAAGATACCTTCTAAGTAGCGGGTGACAAAAGTAGACATTCCTTTTCCCACGATTCTTTCGGGCCTGCTAAGTGCGCATATGAACTCTGCAGGTCTGCATTCTCGAAATTTGAGCTCAAAATCGGCCTTAGCCGCTCCAGAGTCCCCCTATAGGAAACCTGGGTGCTCCCCAGGCTTGAAGGACGCAGCTGCAGGTTGGCAAGGCTCTCTTCTTCGGCCCCAACAGCACAGGGAAGTTGTTAAACGCACTATGCGCATTGCATCTGGGAGCAGTGGAAAGGAACTTTTCTTGGGGTCCCCTACCACACCAGTTGCTGATACCTTGAATGGGTTTCTCTCCACCTCAAGCTTAACAAATCAGACCAAAGGAATGCCTGGCCTTGTGCGCCACAAGAGTGCGGGACCACCAGCCAGGCTGGCCTCTGTTCGGACTTTGAAGGGCCCTTGTCTTAGAGTTCAGCCTCTCAGACAGGAAAAAGAGCAAGCTAAATGCCCACCAGTGGCCAAAAACGTAGTTGTGCGCCCTCCGAACAACAGATCTGAGCGTGCGGCCTCCTCTGCAGCAAGCGGTGGTTTGAGGGTATCCACCGCTTCCTCATCTGCCGAGGGACATAGCGCATCAAATTCTCGAGGTAAAGCTCCAAAACACAGTGCTTCCGATAATATGGATTACTCTGAGGACGGCACCTCTAATAGTAGCAACAGAGGGGGACCAGGGGAATACTCTTCCTCCCTTCCCACTTCAGGGGCAAAGGAGAGTAGGAGCTTGTCCCTAACCAGTGAATCTATGTGGGAACGAACTAAGGGGCCTCGAATAATGAGCACAACTGAGGCATATTTTGGCAGAGTCCCCCGGGCCCCAATAGATATACAGCGCTTGGGCTTGCGAAAACCCCAGGGAGGATCTGTGACTAAAAGCTCTCAGGGGGGGTTTGAGTTATCGGATCCGGAGGTTCACGAGCGCTTTCAAATTGCTCGCAAGAGTACGAAGATTTTAGTAAATGGGGCTTTGCAGGAGAAGGAGTCCCCCGAGTCCTTCAAGAGCAACTCTGAGGGAGAGAGGCGGAAAAGCGATGTGATGCTTGCTGCTGAAGGCAGGGAAGCACCACGGAAGAAGAATAGGAGGACTAAGGAGAAAACTGACAATATACGAAAGCATCATGACACTCTGGGGAACAGCTCACGAAACGCAGAGGCCACAGCTGCAATGCGCGCCATGTCAGCAGCGGCAGCCTCAGCTGCGGCAGCAGCAGAAGCACGGTTAGCAACTGCAGGGCCACTCCCAGCCTGGCGCCAGAAACAGCAGCAGCTGCAGCAAAAAACCAAGAAGTCCTTATTTCTCCACCGGGGCATCAGCTTCCCGATTTCACTCTTCGCCAAAGTCAAGGCAAAGTTTAGCAGATTCAAGTCAGACAAGTCAGACTCACGTTAGACATCTATGGCACTATGTCTCCCAATTTTGGGTACAGAGAGAGGCATGCTTCGTGCGTGGTGTCTGCACTCATGCTGATTTGCCTTGTTTGCTACCATGTATCTATTGTCTCTTTTTATAAACCAGTGAATGTATATAAATCCCTGAAAATGGTGCGAAACTCCGTATAATGGATTTCTTTCTTTAGAGCTCAAGACCGTTTGACAATAAGCGGAAGATGGCTATGGGATGGAGATAGGGCGAATACTTGTTTCCCTGAGCGCCTTTCCTACCTTTGTGTGCTTAGCACTGCACCCAGTTACCCCCTTTAACATGAAATGATACGGGAGAATCTAGACAGGGGAGCAAACGAATGGTTACTGGACGTTTACATCACAAACATTACTGTGGTTACATGCAGCTTCAGCATTCATGAAGGGGAAGGTGGATGTTCATGTCTACCTATTGGCAAATAGGGGTTTTCTGCGAAGTTCAAAGGCTTAATTGTAGTTTAATACATATACTTAAAATGCAATACCACTTGCACCTCCATCCAGCCCTCCAGCTCTGGTGCCCCGCAAAATTGCATTGGAGCATGCAATATCGCAAGAAAGAGAGAAGTCGCATCAAGTATGAATGTTGCAGCTGCTACTATCTGTGCAGCGGTTGCAGGTGAGTAGAACGTTCTTAGGCAATAAAGTAAAGCTACTTAGGATTCGATATCCCTGCAATTATTTGTTCGATGCTATCGCTAGGGAACATCCAGACCCTCATACAGTCTATAGTTCGCTCAAGTTAAGCATATTTTCTATGCAAGTTGCAACGAGGGACACAGATGGAGTTATAGTTTATTCCTGAACAGCAACCACAACAGGCTGGAGACAGTGGACTCAGTCCCTGAGTCAAGATCTATAATGAATAAAAGAAAAACGACGCGCATTTTTAGCTAAATTTCTCCCGATTAACATATATAGTGAAGAAGACGCATGACAGTGCATCCTCACTTTCTAGTGCTTGGCTCGGACATTTAACGTTCCGGACACTGGACCAATGTCTAGTTCTCAAGTAGTAAGTTTCGTCAGACAAATGAAGAAAGGTTCAATATGCACATTTTACTCGTTAGTAGTGCCCCCATGAAATTCATTAGCAGCGCTTGGAGATTATTATTTAGGACAAAAGCGGGCTGCGCTGGCCGTTCTTCTTAAATTGATGCGACAAGGAGTTGAGATACCCGATCCCCCCCAAAGGAAAGAAAGGAAGAAGTAGTAAGGGGCATAACAAAATTGGATGAATAGCAAGCAAAATCCATTGTGGAGAAAGCTGGATGCTATTTTGCGGAAAATTCAGCCGCAGCCCTCTTAATGCGACTGTAGTGCCTACCAGGTAGTGATGCGCTCCATGGACGCTAATAATGCACTGCTGTCCTGGGAACCCATTTCAATTTCTGATAATAACAAACCTCCTGTACCTTATGACTCCTCTTTTTGTCCTGTGGAGGCCTAATAATTAATCATTGTTGTTTCTCTCTTGTGCCTTGCACAATCTGACCTGGGCCGACTCCTACCATTGCTCTCATGTCTGCTTGTATCGCCCTGTTCTCTTTCCTCTTCTCCCTCTTGAGGAAAGAACAAACGAGCATGACTCTTTATCCTATCTGAAACTGTATTGGCTGGTTCCCCACTCGCCAAAGCAGCCGAAGGCTTTTCCTATGCATGCCGTGTGCTGTTATTCCGATTCCTCCCCTTCTCCTCATAGAAGAGAAGCACCACTATGAGGACATACCCAGTATCTGTGGGCGTTCTTATTGCATCGTGCAGACCCTTGAGCTTTTGGGGGGCAGGGCAATATATGCAGCATTTGCGCCAGCAGTATGTGCATCGTCCTTGTAGCTCCCTTATTCTTTTCTCTCTCCTATTTTTCTCAGTTGTTGCCGGCACCGTGTTTCAAAATGTGGCCGCCATAAATACCAAGGGCACGACAGTGGTGATAGATGCTGGCAGTACAGGCACCCGGCTGTATGTATACACGTATTCGTATGGTTCCCCTGAGGACAGGGCTCCTCGTCGTTTGCAGGTAGATGTGCCTGCGCTTGCGACTAAGAGGATGAGCCCAGGGATAGCAGCGTTTGCGGATGAGGCGCTCTTGGGAGGCGTACGGGGTGCGACGGGGGAAGAGACATTTGAAGAAGAGAAGGAAGGGGCGTCGTTGCCTCCGCTGGACAGTGCGCTTAGTGGGGAGCAGTTTCACAGCGATTTAACACCGTGTAAAACATTTCAAGGATATATGCACAGGCTGAAGCGGGCGGCCCTTGAGGCCCTACCTACTTGGTCGGACAGAAGCCGATCCCTTATTCTCTTCCGGGGCACCGCAGGCGTGAGGGCCCTTCCCGAAGATAAGAAAGAGGCTCTGATGCAGGATATCTGCCATACCCTCGAGCATTGGGGGCTTTGGTACATAAAAGGTACTTCGTGTGGAGTTCTTTCAGGACATGAAGAGGGGGTCCTGGGCTGGCTTGCACTCAATCAGCTGCTAGGCCGCATGCAGGGGGACCTCGCTATGGTGCGGCTTGTAAGCAAAGGGAGTCTCCAGAAGAGTCCTCTGGAAAAAGACGTCAAACCAGCGGTCCAGAATGCAGAGACTGCTGCTATGATTGAAATGGGGGGGGCGTCGGCGCAGGTGGTATTCGAGCTGCCACAGTCTGCGCTAAAAGACGAGGATCTAGTTGCAGCAGCGGCGGCTGCAACGGCATTAGCTACAGCCGGAGTATCCAATGCCCACACGCCTAATGCAGGAACGCGAAGTTCTTTTCTGTATCCGTTAGAGGGCCATGAGGACATTAAGGTACTGAAGCTCCGTGGGCAGACTATTCTGCTCTTCACCAGAAGCTACTTGGGGCTCGGTAAGCTGAAAACTATGGCTATTCACACTCTGCTCAGATAGAGGAAGACAGGCGCAGAGGTAATAGATAAGGCCCTGCGTCTGGCTACACTGCAGTGAGTAAGAGAGAGGACACAGCATCTAGTGTGCTGGATTTTCTCTCTGCGTACTTTCAGGTCGGCAGCTGGCACTTGTGCGGGTTACAGTGCGCAGTCTTCGCCTGCATTATGAGCAGCACATATCGCATTTGCACAAGCATCACCGTTTGTATCCCTTCCCCTCTTCTCCGCTACTGAAGGAGGAAGCTGCGGCCTGGACTACGGAGGGCCTCTCCGGTGCGCCGCTGCTTCCGTCTGCCCCTCAGTACGAGGCGCCTCTTCCTTGTTTTCCAGCAGATGTCAGGCTATCTATTGACCTCAATAGCAGTCACTTCGTATTCGATGAATTTCTACACCACGATGCAGATACAACAGACGCGGAGCAGGAGCAGGGGTCCAACGATAGGTCCCTATCCGGAGGAAAGGAGTCTTCTGTGTGTGGACAGGGCGCAGCCTCTGGTAGGGTGGACAAAAGGAGAGCTTGCGTCATACGAACAACAGATGCAGATGGAGGTGAGGCTACTCCTTCAGCTGCCTCGCCGACTCCACTGGCTCATATAAACCCTCCTCATGCAGCTACCTGGGAGAAAGTTATGGCCAGCTCAGATGTGGAGGCGATAAAGGCGGAATCCTTGGATGAAGCAGAGAGAATTAGGCGGAAAAGGATTACAAGGGCCAGAGGGATAGCAGATTTTGAAGGATGCCGCAAGGTAGAAGGATGAAGTCTTTTGCGCAACGTACCGAAGTGTTCGTACGACTGTACATTTGTAGAGCACGGCATCGATTTACATTCCCTCAGCCTAATTGTTGCGTTTTGAATATCGTCGTACGGGAGAACTGGTGTCTCCTACGGCCAATTCAGAGGGCGTTCGGCAATGTCTCGCTGTCCCCTAAGCTTACCCCCTTTGCCTCAATGTTTTGCCATCAATTCCCCTCACCTCCGGATGCATTTTGTCGTGTTTGCGAACTATTTTCTTCTGTTCGTTATCCAGATTGGCGTATGCGATTGCTGAGCGCCGCTATGTGTCTCGACAGCATGGACCCCTGTACGTTACCTCAACCTTGTTGCTTCTGCCTCTCCTGCGCTGCAGGATGTATCTTCGTCCTGGGAAGATCATGAAGCGCTTCCGTTTGAGCTGCCTCCAGATATGCAACTGTACGGAACCGAAAATTTTTTCCACTTTAACGAAGTGAGATCAAAAGAAACAAGATACATATTTATACACTTCACTCCTGGCGTATCCTCTTCCCTCCCGTTTGTTGATTATTTTTTCTTTGAACTTCTCCGCTGCCTTTGTTTTAATTTCGCCCTTACCCCTGTCTTCACCTTTTATCCGGCACTCACTGTTCCTCTGCTCAGTACGTCATCCAATCGCCGTCACGGCCTTCCTTCTCCATCGCATCCTTCCGTCGCAGCGCCGCCTCTTTGTGTGCCTTAAAGAACGTCAAGGATGTGCTGAAAAGGATTCACCCCTCAGCAGCAACCGAAAAAGCACAAACCGGTTGTTTCGGGTTGGCCACCATTCAATTCCCATTCTTTCCCTGTTGCTACTACCGCTATGTTTTGGTGTTCGGTTGGTGGTTTGTGGAGCATCCCGCTCTAGCACCGCAAAGAATGTCTATTTTATTCCTTTTAACACAAAAAGTAGCTGCTTTGTTTTTGCCCTCTGAGGAAGGGTATGGCTGCATTTCTTCCCCCCTGCAGAGTCCGATATATTTAGAGTGAAAATGCAAAGTTCATGGACCAACATCGTGCTCGTTTTTATCTTCGTTCCAGGCTGGTGCTGATGGCACAGTTCTTAGAAGACATTCTCCGACTAGAGGCAGAGAGAGAGTTGCTCGCAGTGAACGAAGTAAGGAGAGGAGCATTGGAATGGAGCGGGAGGGCAGGCGTGCGAAGGGACAGAGGGGATGATCAATAAGCAGAACGTAAAGCACAACGGAAGCAGGATCTCGTTTAGTGTCTGTACCCCTCTCCTCTGTTGTCGATTTCTCAGGTGGAGGGCAATGAGGTCTCTTGGACCACAGGCATTTTGTTTGTGCTTCTACCAGATATCTTAGATAGGGAGCTTTTAAACGAAAATGGGCTTGCCGCCTCTCATGACGAGCTTTGAGGTGCACAGTTGCTAGCTGTGATGTGAATCCGCAGCTTCGGCCAACAAGGCTAGCGTATCTGTTACTCTCCTTGCTGCTCCTGGTGCCGCTTTTGCAATCACTAGCGCGTACCAAGCAGTATGCATATATGCAAGCTTTGTTCGTCATATGCGGGACACTTTATTTCATGCCGATTTCCGTTTATTACTCAGCATCTTCACCTACAGCTTGTTCCCCCAGTCTTTTCGCATTGAAGTAGTTATACATAGTGTAACCAAAGAAGGCCTTATGGCTTTCTAGGCTTTAGCCGAAGCCCCGAGGATAGGCATTGTAGGCAAAGTCATAGAACCATTGGGGAACTAACCAGTTGGCCAGTGGTCATCAGATGCCCTGTGCAGCCTAACTAGACGGCTAGCCTAACAGCAGGCTAGCCCACTAATCCAACTAAAGATCCATGAGCGTCTTTCGTCTTTATAAAGGGACCCCTTACTCTTATCTCTTCCCTTTTTTTCCTTAGGGGAGCCTTTTACGATGCCCTCGAGTTGACTGCTGTTGCATCTGCTGCAGCAGGCTACGTGCACCCGGCCTTGCTGGCGAGATACGAAGACGTGGAGAGTGGGGGCTTTTCTTCCTTTTAATTCCTGCTGCCAGTGAAATACAAGATAGTTCACCTACTGCGTGATCCCTAGGCCGCAAGCAATAAGCTCTAGGTTAGAGTCACGTCATCCCATTATGTCGTGTGCCCCTTTGAACCGTGGGTCAATCGTATAGCTATGATTCCCTAAGCCGCAACAACTCAATTCTGGAGCACACAAATCATAACAGCAAGTCCCTGATTTTGATCTTGTGCCTGCATCTTGCATTCTGCTTGAGTTGCTTCGCGGCATTAATTGTTTCAGAGCCCCTGAGCATCATTGTTTTGGCTCCCACCTGCTGTTGCACACTAGAGGAAGCGATAGACTCATTTTGCCATCAAAAAGTGCGTGTGGACTTTAGAAGAGACGCACATCTAGCGGGGGTGCTCTCTCTGGTTGTATATACGCACATGAATCAACGCTGACAGCATGGGAGGCAGAACCACATGACGAGGACAGAAAGGAGAGAGAGAAGTAGACTCAATGAGCAATAAGCGATGGCGATACGGAAAGCAAGAGGCATTAACACATAGATCCAATATTTAATACACGCTCGTGCAGATTCATTTTCTGGGTGTATCTATAGGGCCTCCCGCTTTGCGAGACGTCCCAAGTCTTGTGGCTAGGAAACATACTCTTCAGCATTGAAGCAGTTTTTTATCCCAAAAGTTTACACTGAAATCTTATTGAATAACATGCTGCATATTTCCAGATCAGCATAAGTGCCACTCGAGAAAAGCTGCTACGCAAAGTGGGCCCCAGCCAAAAGAGGAAGCATGAGGAACAGACAAACTACAAGGGCGAGGAAGTGAAGCGGGGTGCCAGCTAGAGAAGCCAAATAATCCTAATAGACTGTGAAATACTGTAAGCCCAGGTGACAGAGATATCCCCGTTCCCTTCCTCATGCGCCTTCCTCATGCACTGGAGAAAGGCAGCCCTTTGAACTTTGAATTTCGGGCCACTGAGACACCTCTCCGCGCGTACGCATCCCAACGAAAACACAAATCATCATTACGGATTGAGGTCCAAGGGGTCTTTCTTTGTCGACCATTGTAAGCCCGCTTGTAGCTCAGCATGAAGCCTATTGCCCCGGTTTGCATACCACTGGCACCTTATCTGCTGTGTGTCTTGCCAATACCCCTCTTCCCGGACATCATCCATTTGACCTTCTTAACCTGAATAAACCTGTCACTTTCTCCTGCAGTTCCTCGGAGCTTTCTATCAACGCTTCGTTTGAGCTGCATCGCCTTCTCTTTAGAAAGGCCACCTAGTCGTTTCTTCTGGCCCAGAACCACAGCAGACGTAAGCCGGGCGTCTTCTTCTTCTTCTCCGCCACTAGGAACTCCCCCAAGAGTCCCGTCGTTGTGGGTGGTGGCTTCGCGCTTCCTTGCTGAATCTGCAACTGAACGCGAGCGGGTGAGACGGCGTATCTTTGTGCGGAGGCGCTGACGCTGCTCTGCATCCTCTTCCAACGGCTCTGCCTCACCCGTATGACCACGGCGTGGTTCTGAGGGCACAATGATGACAAATGAGGCGAAACGCAATTGCAGCACTCCATCATCCGTCTACCCAGGGATCGTTAACACACAAGCTAGTACCTACCGTGCGCACATGACAATTTTAATGCTTTCCCACTACCTGCCTAGCCCCCTCCATGTTCCCATCTCTTCCTTCCCTTCACTGCCCTGCGTTACCTCTGTCCATGTCCCTGCCCCTCTTCCTGTTGCTCTCTGCTGTCGGATTGATCGACTCTTCCTGAAGAGCCCGCCGCGCCTCCTCCAGTTGCCGTTTCTAAAGGAAAACAGACCGATGCGGACAACCATAAAATTATTTGCTTCGATGTTAACAGTAGGGGCCTTTTAGGAAAAGCGGCAGACAAATCATACCACAGCTCCAAAAACCCTCCATTTATATCCCTCACCGTCTTTTTGAGGAGGCGTGGTCCGTTCTTCTTCTTCCTTAGCTTCGCCTCCATCCGCTTGTGGCTAATGCCGCGGTGCAGGCGGCTCAGCTTGGCTCGCACCGATTGCAGCCTCGTCAGCTGATCCTGCATAAAAAACACGACACTGCGGGAAGCATATGGCTTTAAATAAAAAAGCACGTTTTTGAGCACATTATGAAGGGTAGACACGTAGATGGAAATAGCCTTTCAGAAAAACCCACTTGGATTTCATCCTGCTGCTCGAGTTCCTTCTGCAAGAGCTCCTCTTCCTCCCTTTCAAGGGCTTGCAATTTTTGTTCGATCTCCGGGTCAACGAAATCCATGACGTTCTTGCCATCAAAAATCTCAGGGACAACATCGTACCGCCAGTCCTCGTTCGCAAGGATATGCTTTTCTGAAAATCCATTTAAAGCCACCCACAAGCAAAACGAACTCCATACGGGGAACGGGCAGAAGAGATTCTACGTGGGGGTGCAGTCGTTTCGCAGCGAAAAGGGGAAATAGCGAGTGTGGCAGATAGATGCATCGGGAGACATGATGCACAGCTGTTGCCTGGGATACTTACTACGCAAGTCGTAGCTATACACCCCAGGGCCTCCTTCCTCCTCCTCAATGTCCCTCTCTAGCCGCTGCTTCGGCGGCAGAAGTCCTTGCTGTGGCAACTCACATATGACACAATGGAAACAATCCCTTTATATAATCCTCTCGGAAGCCCTCAAGGAGGCGGCAGCGACAACCATCTCCTCAGCACCGTGTGCTGGCCTCAATTTATTGCGATAATCATGCCCACAGGCGGCCCGCTACGGGCCCATTGCTTGCCTTCTTTAGCTCCAGTTCCCGCAAGACGCTCTCCGGGATATGTGGTTGCCGTGGCTGCTGCACACTGGAAACATGAAGCATTGCTGCTGCAGGCCCCTTGACTCCAAGAGCAGCAGTAGCAGCAGCAGACGCCAAGGGAGTACTTCCTGTGGCTGCTGCTACAGCTGCTGCTGCGGGATCTGCTGAAGCCACAGCGGCTGCTTTCCGCATCATCCTTTGCTGCAGCAGCAGCTCGCAGGCCAGATTCTTAGCCTCGTCCAGGCCGTCACCAGTTAGGGTCGACGTAGCCGAAAGCGACACGTCTGCTTCTGCAGCAGCAGAAAGACACAAACACAATCCAACCCGTCAACACACTTCCGCCTGCCTAGAACGGAAAGAAAAGGCGAATGATACCGGCCTAAGGCCTACAGGCTGTAGTCCAGAGTCTATAAATGTGCGATTCCGCACCAGTCTCAAGCTGCTTGAGGAGCTGTTTTGCATCGAGCTCAAGGTCTTCAGGTTTCACTTTGTCAGTCTTGTTGAGGATAACAACTTTTGGCTTGTTCTTGAATAGTACGTGAATGCTTTTGAAGAGCGCCACTTGCTGGGCCACCGAATAGCCGCATTCTTCACTCACGTCAATCACAAATAACACTACGCACTGCAGAAACAGAAAAATGCAGAAAACAGACAATATTTACAAAACAGGCAAGACATGTATTCCAGAGAGACGCAATAATGAGAAGAGATTCCGCTGGCTCATTACGGCTTCATGCATCAGTAAAAGAAAATACCCAGAATATCCGCAATTGCTGCAGCCTGTGCACGGGGGGTTGTGGCCCTCCACAAACGAATGCCCATTCCAGGAATATATACCATTAGGCCCTTGTGCAAAACCAGGCATGAACTAGAGGAGAAAGAGAGGTTTAGCGCTGCGTTCCCCTAATATGGGTTCAGCCAGAAGGCAGATGAACTTACGTGAAGGTGGGTGAGGGCTGCAATTGCGAGCATCTCGATCAAATTTCTCTCCTCCAGAGGATGATCTAAAATCCCTGGAGTGTCTATTATCTGCAGAAACCACAAACAGAGACGCATGGAACGGTAAATACACTTAACAGCTACGATCATCACCCTCACGCCCTTCCCCCGCTTCACCGTGTACACCACAAAGGCACCCACCGAACACAGGAAGCATGTGAAGAAACTCGCGCATTACCCAATCCCCTCAGGTAACCGAAGAGGCAGAAAATTCATGGAAGGAGACAGCAACCAAGAGACTATTACAGCTACACTGCGGTTCTAGGCACCCCGCGGACTAAACAACGGCCCACCACACCATGGTCAACACAAGATGAAACATATAAGAATGGCAAAACACAGGGATAGAGCAACATGAAAAACAACATCTAGGGGTGAACAATCACATACCCATCTCAACCACCGAAGAACACATTACTAGGAGCAGGGACTACGGAATTTGTGCCTGTCACCCAGCGGATCATAAAGCTTAGTGCAAACTCCAACATGCTGTACCTGCCATCGTGTGTAGAGATGATCAAAGTGCCCGACAAACAGACTTTTCGTGGTGAACGCAAAGGGTTGCACCTCCACATTTGCGTTACTCAGGCGATTGACAAAAGAGCTTTTCCCCACATTCGGGAAGCCAGCAAGCAGTAATGTACGGGCTGAAGTTTGTATAACCGGCAGCCGCTGCAGATGCATGCGCACTTCTTCCAAATACTCAAATACTTTAGACAGTTTCTTCACAACTGTAACACAGCAGCACAAGAAAGCGCAGGAAAACGCGAAAATGCAGGCGAAAATACGTAGTATAAACATATAGTAATAAGAACGAAGAAATGTCCTTCCTCATATGCTTAGTGATCAACCTAGCGTGTGTGAAATACGCAAATAGAGAACTGCTACTGAGTTTCCCACACTACAAGTGCTGTTTATCCATCGCCTCGCATGATCCTCATTCGTATATTCTGGATGCCGCATCCAGCTTTCCTGTCTTCTCAGTCAATCCTGGCAGTACACGTTATGAATGCATGCTTTCAGTGCAGCATTTGCCACGAGTGCTTAGAAAAACAAAGACCACATACCCGTGCAATATCTCCCGAAGGCGGCAGTCTTCAAGCTCTTCGATTTGTAAAGGGAATCTGAGTACTTGGACAGGGTGATATATTCCTTGCTAATTCGCTCTATTCTGTTGATGCAAGCTGCCACCTGCCCGAGGGCCAACTTGTAGTGATCTCGGTCGTAGAGAATGTTCAGTAGATCCCCATAAAAAGGGTGCACGCTCTGATCAGGCGGAACAAATCGTGGGGGGCACAGTCGAGTCGCAAAGTTACAAATTTGTATACACCTAAGTAGATGATCTCACTGAGTAAGACCTGCCCCTGGAGTAAAAAACTACCAAAACTCGACTGAAGGCACTCTTAAAAGCCTCCCATGAAAGCCGGAGGCAAGTATGAATAACGATAGCCTTCAAACGCCAGTAGGGGCGTAAACTACTGAATTTTTCAAGGAAGAAAGAATCTAACGAAGTAATAAATACAGTCTGGTCACACTGATCAAAAAAGTAGCGCTTGCTGATGCGGTGAGGTGTCCGGGGCCTTACATCGAGTTTGGGGAACAAAACGATGATGGCTTTAAGCTTCTCGATGAAGAATTGGGCGCATGTCTTGATCTTCCGGATGTAGAATTTCTTAATGACATTGATGTTGCTCCGCTTATGTATTTCTGTTGGAGTCTTCCTCTGTGTCTTAGAAAGGCAAACATCTATGAGGGATGCCGCCGTTAGCACGGGCGGCAGATCCTGAAACATGAGAGAAATAAAGCGCATTATTGAACTCTCGACACATCATGTGCTGGATACTATGCCATCTAACGTTCTCTTGCTCAATAGAAGCCAGGCGTTACCTCACAAACTTACATACGCATGGCGCTGGGAGGAAAGAGTCACATGGTATTGGTTCCCCACAACGTCGTTGACGCTGTGGGATGCCCTACTTTATCGTATTCCAGACCCATAAAAAGAGAGTAAGCCTTATTGCCATCAACAAGAAAATCAATTGCCGCGTGCAGCAATGGTGTTCCTGGCCCCAGGCTACAAGGGGACATTCAGTAGTCTGTCGCTCACCTTGACCTTTAAGCCACCGAGATCCATCGCTACTCAGTTGTATTTAGACCCGCGGAGATGCAATTTGTTGATTTGGGGGATAATCAGACTTCTCGTCTTTCCTTGATTCTGTGGGGAGGCCCCCCTTCCGCCCCTCAGAATCCGTCTGCAGTCGGTCCACAGGAGAGAGCACGGAGCACCGCAAGCTTTTTAAACTGTTCCTTTTTCATTAATGAAAAAAGATAACAGTGGAATCTTTGTATATAGTAGACTTTAGCAATGCCTTTAGCGGAAAGCGGGTGGGGCTGCATACATTTGTTTTCAAAGCTTCCATTGCCTAAAACTGTACCGGTCATGCTAAAACTAAATGCAGGTTCAGTTTTAAGTTTTACATGTCATTTTATTGGAAAATGCGGCTTGGGGCAATTCACTTATAGGGTTCCTCTGCACAATAAAGCCGCATCGGTGCTGTTTGTGCCCTCGCTTCAAGCATTTTTTGAATATCTGTACTGAAACGTGTATCCTCCCACATTCAGTTTTCATTTTTCTACCAATTATTTTGGGCAGAGATGCTTTTTGCTTCGCTAGTTGGTTTTTTCTCCACTGGCTAGGGGGATGTTGAGCAGTGCAGCGAGCTGTTCGTAAAAAACCGTTATAATCGTAAAAGTTGCTGCACCTCCGCCTGGTCACACGCTTCAAATTAATTTTTCTTGTCTAGTCTATAGTAATCCTGTGGGGTATGCCTATCTGAGATGCATTCATTGGTGGACTGAAAGAGCCGATTCGTGCAATGTCAGGGCCCGAGCGTCTAGGAGACCTGAATTGGCCAGAATAACTCAGTATTGCAGCATATGAGCTAATTCGAGTGCTCACTATGCTCAGTCACTCTCATTTTGAAGAGCATGAACGCTGGTTTTTTGCCATCTTTACTGGGCACGCCTTACTTATTCATTGTCTTGGTCCGTCGTACGTATTTACGATTTGCTTGCGCATAGCCTGCATGAGTTAAATTGGTCGTCTTTTTTAATTCACACAAAAGTTGATCATATTTTTGAGCTATTATGCTGTGTGTATACGGGCTTTTTAAAATAAGTGCAACCAAGCGTGACTTCTTAACGTATATACACTGTGCAGCAACGTATGCCTCTTCTGCCGTCCTTCTGCTAGTGCATAAGCCCTGTGGGGTGAGGAGAAGAGAAGAAGGGTGAGCTTTTTAAAAGACAGGATATACTTGAAATACATGTTTTCGTAGATTGTAAAGGTGAAAGGGATCCATGTAGCGCCCTTACAAATAAGGTTGCATCTGGTTGCGCCACATAGTGTGACACCCCACTGTACTGCTCATAAAGTCGCAGCGAATGTGGTAAGCTAGCACAGTTCAGAAGGATACTTCTATTGCGTAGATTCAGAAAACATCCGGAATATACTTATTTGAACGCACGTTCGCAGGCGTTCGGGAAACGGTTTCCTGGAAGTGTGGACGTTAATAGGGGTGTTATGGCTCTTAAGGGGTTGTACGCCGGCTTGCGCGTGGCTGGGAAAATTACTTTTATGATAGTGGGTACAAAAGTTGATGCGACTCCTGCGAAAGTGCATAAATGCCTACGGATACGCAAAGCGGTGTAGGCCCAACGCCCATCACATACAATACGCCTTAATTGCGGAAAACAATGCTGCAAACGCACCTGCACCTACCTTCTTGGCAGGTGCTAGCGCTATAGAAGCACTAGCGCTAAAATTACTACGGCATATGCGTGCAGTGGTCTAAAAACTATAACACCATTAGCGCCTTTTGCGCAGTTGAAGACACAGTCTAAGGATTAAAACCTAAGGCTGTAGAGACCCTCTATCGGTCCGTCTGAGGTATCTGTACAAAAACAAACTCCAAAGTCAATGCAAACGATAGAATATTGTCGAGTGTTTTCCAAATGAAGGGACATGGACAGAGAGATTGCCCGTACTTGCACTCTCCATGCAGTCCAACTTTTAACGCCTGAGCACCTAATGCACGCGCAGACACCATTGCGTCTTCTTGTACCGAGTCAATGCTACTCCGCAACAGATGAGATACAGGAACCGACAAGCGAACTAGTTAATTCCCTACTGATTCGTACTCAAATTTGCCTAGAATATTAGCAAATGTGGATGGATCTCCAGGCCTGCTAGACTTGCTCTCTGTTCCATTTCAGAACACACACTTTCGTGTTTTGTAGGGACCAGCTACGTCTAGGACAGCGGATGAGTTCTCGCCCTACTCCACTATTAATGAGGGCAGCAACAAGAAAAGCAGTGCAAAAAAGGGTAAGTATGTGACTTATCTACCAACGGGATGCTGAGGGGAAGAAGGACCGACATACTAGGCAGCAACGCACGAGGAACCACGCCAAAATGACCACGGTGGCGGGGTGGCTCGATGTTGGCGGAGAGCTGAAGTTTCGAGTGTCCTGCTACGAGAAAAAAGCAAGTAAAATGTGCAAACAGCATCGAAGTGTGCACTAAGGTCACATTGTCATGGTGCATGGTGTGGCAATATCTACTCGCAAAAACAACCTATGCATGCAGGGTAGTCGATTTCCACACCCCGAAAAAAGGCACTCGCAAGTATGTAGGGACAGAGTACCTGAGGCTGCATTTACATTGGTCTCACCATAGAGGATACCCTAACAGCAGTTATAAAAAATTATGCCAGTAAAGCGCATAGATGAGGGTAGGTATTTATTTCCGGAGAAGGAGAAATTCTAACAAGCGCTAGGAGAGCCGTCGTGGCAGAGACTTAAATAAATCGAGGCGCAAACTCTTCGGCAGGCAGCAAATTTTGCAACTGCTCTTTCCTCAGCCACGACGGTTGGCATCTTTCATGCAATTTCACCTGAAACTGCCGTCCGGCAATTATCGGCGCTCAACAGTTCTAGAGTGCAGCACTTTTACAGTTTGATTTCCTGTGGAGCATTCACCACCAAATAGGTCTCTTACCTGATCGGCAAAGTCCGCGAATTATCCGGAGGGCTGTAGAACATTTAAAAGCGGCAGTATCATTTGTCAACTTCTGTTACTCTTCAAGTAACAGTTCAGGCCAAGTCCCTAAAAAACGTTGCCTGCCCACTGAGACGAGATGCATGCTCAGACTTGTCTACTTTAGTTGTGCTGTTGAAACGCCCGCAGGAAGACCCTGCCTCACTTTGTTGGTGCACTGTCTACCCTAATCACCGGAAACGACATGAGCATCGTTGAAAAGACCAGCAGTTGCTTCTTCCTAGCGCTTCTGAGCACAGTAATTACAACAATGTGCACCTGTGTCAGCATATGCGCCTTCCACTGGTTTCCAAATGACATAATCTGAATGCTTGATGATGCTTGGGTCCAGCCTAGGAGTCACGGACCATGCTGATGGGACCGAAATCCGTTTTCAAGTGGCAGTAGACCGCCGAGCATCTAGCTGCTGTAGCCTTGCCAGTCCTTGCATTCTGTAACCCATACCAGCTGTATGTCTCAGGGTTCGTGCTTACAAGTAAAATGACCGACTGCACTTTTGCGGTGTCTCCTCATATATCAGGTCCACTCCTCACCTATTATCAGGTAAGGCTAGCAGTTCTAAGCCACTGATGCAAACTCGGATCAGCGCACAATTGACTCGTGCTGACTGTACATTCGCAACTTTCTCGTGTGCGACCTCTTTTGCTGCTCACAGACGGCGTCGAGGGCTTTCTGCCTTCCTTATGCGCCTTTAATGACCCTGTTCTTGCTTGGCACAGTCCATTTGTTCAAGTCCTTTGACTTTATGATTAGATTGCCTTTCTGATGCATACTATACGATTTCCCACAAAAATAACAAATGTGTTGTTGGATAGTGCCGTGGATTGCTCAGAATTACGGGTTCCCATTGGCCTTGTTTCTCGTTTACCTTACACTGTAGACTAGGGTCAGATGACACAGCCCTGATATCCATCCGGTCTAAGTCCTAAATTGACTCTTCGCTTTCAGCCCAAAATGGAGAAATTGCATTTTTCCGCTCTTGAGAAATTTAGGGGCCCACCAAGTGTTGAATTTGCACCTGTCTGTTGTTTCATATCTTGGCGACTGTTCATCTTCAGTCCACCGGATGCAACACTTGGGTTAGGCTTGAGATGCAGGACTGATGAAGCATGATTGCGTATACGTTGTGGCTTTTGCTTACCAACGCCTCATTTTGTCGAGATATAAATCTATCAGGAGATTTCCGTGCTACGGGCATATACTCACGGTTTAGGGCTTGTATGAAGGCTTCAACTGTAATGATACAGGTCGACAAGAGAATTTCGTTTTGGGGAATAGCGCCAGCATTAAATTGATTATCCTTCCAATATACATTCCGCCAAGAGCGCTTGTCTCCCTTTACCTGGAGGTTAGAAAACGAGATACATGTTGGATTGATTGATAAAATCTTCTAATTCCCCACCATACTTAAGGTCTTCATACTTGGGGGGTAAGCGTTTCCTCATCGACCTGACCATTAATAATCTACCGGCTGAGAAAACATGCCCATCTACCAGCCATGAAGTTATGACGTACACATAGCCTTGCAGGTCAGCCTCTGCCGCCACAACGGGCATTCTGCCAGCGCTTGCTTCTATCGCCGTGGAAGCTTTCCCCAGACTATCTCCAGACAAAACGAAACTAGAAAACAGGCAAATAATTTTAGCAACGCCATATAGCGGGTGTAGAGACAACTGGCTTTCCACCGCATGCACAGCCGTTGTATGAGAGGGCGAAGAGCTGCTTCGAACCATGAGCTGGCTAAAATTGTAGCGCCTTTTCTCAGGTGTCGAGAGGGGCAGACCCGACATCAATCCAGCTCCCTTATATGCTGGATATGATGATGTTTTGTGTAATTTGCAGAAACGCTGCTCCATTTCTCTTTACGCGGCGGCCAAGATTCTCGGCATGAGACGAGAGGGAGAGGAAGGGTGCGCGTAGCTTACCCCTTTGAGCACACGGAGCATTTACAGTTCGCTGCGCATAGCATCTGATGCATGTGTGCACAACCTTGCGTCTTACTCTACCGAGCATAA